CACCATTTGACCTTAGAACTGAAGAAGCTTCTCGGATGAGAGGTGAAACGTCTTCAAGCAACTTAAAGAAGTCCAGACGCTTTTCTTTGCAAGCTCAAATAGGACGGGAGTTTCTCTTTTCCAGTGTCGGTGTTAAGCTCAGCCCCCAGGGGTCCAGGCCCACCCAGTAAAGTCACCGTGCCGCATCGGCTGAAATCTACAGATACACTCTGACTAGAAGTTATTTATATTTTGGTAATGACCTATATCACTGATATTGCAGTGCAAGATCAATTTAATTATCCAGTTAACAGTACTTTAGTGCCTCTGCAGGAATCTTGGTAACCAGGACGACTGAGGGCAACACAGCACTGAGCACATTACCACACACGGGTCAGACTCTGGGAAGCACCCCTCGTGTCTCAGGAGCCAAAAAGAGCTTGTGCAGCCTTTTTACAGAATGACTCAATAATACGTTGAAGATATTGTGTACTCAGTTATCCCAGTGTGTGTGTGGTGAGTTCACAGACCCAATTCCACACCTAAAGAAAACCTCTCTCCTGTTTGTTTATTAAACACATGCAACATGAAGTGCAAGTGAAAATCAACATAATTAAAAAGCAAAGTTGTGTATTTTTTTTTTTAATCCAGAAATGATCAGACAAACAAGTGTAGTAGTTTGCAGGGTAACGAGCCTGCAAATAGAATCACATTAGAGTATCAAACAGGATCATGTGACAAAAAGTAAGCACAAAGAATAATTTCCATAGAAGGCATTAATGATCAGAATCAAACGACAGATTATACTGCAGTTATTACCTGGCACCAACACTATAAGCAACCACACCACAGATTACATTTCCCTCTTCACAGCAGACAGAAACAGGTCACACAGATTACCCGAGACTGCAAATAATTTAAACAAAAGTGGCAAAGTAGTAATTGCATTGAATGCATTAATGAATGTCATGTGCACACTTAGCATCGTATAAAAATAGATCTCTGGCGAATTACAGCAGATTTGTCTAACACGTAGTTGTGGTGGATCCTACACCGTGTGTATAAATGTTTTGGAAGAATGAAAAAGACCTGAGTAGTATTGGCAAACCCCCACACCAGAAAGGGACATCCATTCTGTATCAGTAAGGACAAACAGCGTCAGCAAAGATCATTTTCTTCTTTGGTCTGGAATGCTTTCCCCCATCACATTGAAGAGATATAAAAGGCTACTGCTCATGGACGTTCTTCATCATCAGCTTCACTAAAGGTCATACTGGGTCCATCCTGGAGGGGGTGCTAAGTAGATCCTCCGTCCTCTGGACATGAAACTGACCACCCCTCTGTACCCTGACCGTGGCACTCCAGACTTAAAGTCATCCATTATTCCCAGATTTTTGGCCATCAATTTGAAACTGTCCTTACTCGAGTATTGAAGGCGGAAGGGCCCGGGTCCTTGTAGCTGGCCCTGCTTCACATCTTCATATTTAACCACAGGAGCACTGTAAACTTCCTTCTCAAAGTTTTCCTTGTATGTCTCCTCCTTCAAGTAACTCAGGTCCAACTTGGTGAAAGGCACAATCTCGGTATTCAGTTTAATGTAACGCAGGTATTTGTCAAAAAACTGACCCAGACTCACACCCTGGCGACCAAAAGTTAAAGTCCGTGAGATCTCTGGGCGTATACAGGCACGGTTGCGGCGCTGCTCTGGCTGGCGCATCCAGTCGTCCCAGAAAGCCTCAGGCCACTTTGGCTCCAGCTCCTCCCACACCTCCCTGAGGAGCATCCACCCCAGGCCGGGAAAGAAGTCTGTCCGATAGAGCAGGTCGGCCTTGCCGGGGTCCACATAGCCTTCCCTCCCATTGTCATTCCAGGCAGACACACACCACAGGCTGGGGTCAGATTTCAGGAAAGGCAGCAAGGCTCGGAAATACTCAAAGAAGTCTGGTGCCACCTAGAGCAAGAGATGAATAATTCAGTTCAACTGTTACATAACCATCGCAACAAGTGAAATAACGAGTTTTGAAAGAAGAAGATTAATTTAAGTTGTAAATAAAGAATGAAAATGAAGGAGAGATCACAAATCATTGGTGTTTAATATGAAAATAATCACCTCCAGGTCGTCCTCCACGATCACCACAGATGAATGACCGAGCGTCTTGAACACTTGGTTGAGCGCCCAGTGGTAATGCCTGGAGATTTTATAGTAACCCTTAAACTTCTTGTGCTCAGGCCTCACTTGGATGTCAGACAAATCCGGCTGCTTCAGATGAGTTACGTTGTTTCCATAAGACCGAATCACCTCAGCAGTCTCGGCATGTCCGCAGTCCTGACTCACAATGATTGGGTGGAGCGCTGCTGAGGGCCGGTGCTGCAGGAGTTTGTCCAAGCAGCGCTTCACGGTGACTCTGTTGCAGGCGATGACAAGGATAGGGATGGCAGGCTGAGGAGCAGCGGTCACCTTTGGCTTGTTGTCTGATGGCTCCCAGAGCAACTGATGATTCTGGATTTGCAATAGGATTTTTTTCTGCATCTCAAGCTCACTTTCGAACGCATTTGCAAATCGAAGCACATCCTCCATCACATTGCTGGGGGGCCCTTCGGGACCTTCTTTCTGATCTCGGCCCTGTGGGGGTCTCCCCCACAGCAGGAGTACCAGTATGGCATTCCATGTGATAAACAGGAACGCGCCACAAAAAATCAGGCAGCTTCTCTTACGGATCATGGCCCAGAAACTGAGAGAGAGAGAGGGAGGGTGGGAAATTTCAGGAAGACAGAGTCTGAACAGAGAGACGTGTCCTTTTTAGAGACAACAGGAATGGGATATGGGAGGGGCAGCCTATGCTTTGTGTCATCACGGGCTCGCTCTGCAGATAGTGAAGTTATAAAGACACAATACAGCATTGGTGAAAGCGCAAGTCGTTAAAATCCGATGAAGAGCAAGATTCATCTTGGAGAAAATCCTCAACATTTAATGTCCTCTTTTATCTGAAATAAGGAAAAAATCAAATAAAATCAAGTCAATATCAAGGTTTCCAACTCTCACAAAACTTTCCCTCTCACATCCTGCCCAAACAAATCTCCCATCAAAGGTTTAAAGCCAATGTTTTAAGATAAAAAAATTGACAGCCCTTTTTAGGTTTAACAGGAGTTTTCGACCATTTTTCAGCAAAAACACTGAACTCCACATATCAGAGAATGCAAAACACTGTTTATGTGCTTTATTGTCAGAACAGGAGATGAAGACTTTATTAATCATTGAATGAACTATTCCCAACACTGAGAGGATACAGAGGAGCTAAGGTGTCTCACACAGTTAGTTTGGCCATTAAATCACTTGCTACAGAGGATCGAGCGTCCTGCACTCATGCAGCTGCAGTAGTAGTTTGTTGTATTAGTACTGTGTGCGTGGATGTTTATCTTAGTTATCATGACCTCTCGGTATTCAAATTCAGTGGTCTGGAATTTAAATACAGCTAAACAGAAACTGGGGCTTTTCACTATGCAGATTGCAGACATAGGCTGTATTTAGATGGACTCGGCTTCCCGGACTGAAAAGGGCCTTAAACCTAGATTTCTAATGGCCAGCAGGAGGTGACTACTCTTGAAATCAATGGGTCAACGATCCTCAGCTCTCTTACTCAGGAAAGAGCTTGCAGATCACTTTATTACTGAATAAAACGTGAATTTAAAAGGTATAAAGTCTGGTCGTTACTACGGTTTGAAAGCAGGGCTGCACAGCTTTCGCTCACTGGCACAAGATCGGTCATTCACAAACTGCCTTTAGTTTCTCAGACAGTTTCATTCGTTCACATCTGGTTTCAATACCAAGGCAATGATGCGAAAATGGGAGTCTTCATTACCAGCGTTTGGTGACGTCACAATGGCTACATCCATCTTTTATGTACAGTCATTCACATGCCATTAAGTACCGCCTGCAATTACACGCAGCATTTGGAGCTTATCGTTTTAAAATAAGCTGCTGACGTTTGATTAGGAATTTTCCGTTTTTAAACACATTGTTATTAAGTCAATAAAAATGAATAAAAAACAACTTCACAGCCAGCACAGTTTACCTGATAATTACTAACGAATTATTAATGACCCCGCCCCTTAATGCAAAACGGCAGTTTAAGACTATTCAATAGGGCCAGGTCAACCCCGAACGCCCTGCCCCCACACCGCTCCAACTACATCTGAAAGTTCTGTTTCTGCTTTAAATAACCAATAAAGTGAAGGCAGGAAATCAGACAGGAAGTTGACAGTGATGATTCACCAAAATGCCTGTGATCGATTTTCTCTTATCACCTGTGGCTGACTCGACACAGCAGACGAACTGCGGTTTATTAAAACACAAAAACAGCTGGCATCACCGACTTCACCCTCTCCGTCCCTCCCTCACGCTGCTCGTCAGGCGCCTTGTGCTCGTCACAGTAAACACAGTAGTCTGAGGAGGAGAGTTCGAAGCTGCCCTCACCTCACAATGTGCCCGCTCCTTCTTGCTGTGGCCATTTCTTCGGGAAAAGTTCCGTAGAAATGAGGCCAGTCTCCTGCTTCTTCCCCGGCGGCTGGAGCAACTTCACGCCGCCGACTTTCTCCCGTTTCTCGCTGGCTGCAAGAAAAAGAGGAGGAGAAAAGAAGTAACACGACAACTTCCTGGTTTTAGGGCAGACACGGAAGTCCCGCCCCTAGCCGTCACCTTGAGAAATTACGCAACAGTTTGACGCGAGAGCCGCTCTCAGCGGAGCTAATTAGAAACAGCGGCAGCCTTTGAAGTCTTTGTGCACACACACTGTCTGCTTCCCCTCACCGAGGCTTCCACACGGACAGCGAACAGCCAGGGAGGCCCGGAAAACTGCTTTTTCATTTAATTTAGCTAATTTATCTTTTTCTGCTTGAGCTGCACAGGAGCGCGCGTAATTTGCATGAGCTACACGGGAAGAGGGGAACGGAGAGAAGAAGAAAACCTTCCCTTCTATTTGCTGTACTTGTAGACAAGCACATAACAAAAGCACACAGGGTACGGCCTATTTACTGCTTTACTGCAGCTTATATTGTTGCATCCAAATTGCACAAAGCTTGCCCACTTACAAAAACAGGCTAGCTCCAAAGGAATAAAGAATTAATCTCATAAAGAGATTGTGAAATTTGCACTACCATCCTAAAATTATGACACATACTCTCAGTGTTGAATATAACACTGAAGAAATTGGATCTATAGAACCTAGAGAAAGCTTATTTCATCTGAAATTCGGTGTCCAAGCCCTGAAAATTTACTGTTATACCCATAGCTGTTGATTATACTCATTATAGATTAATAGTTTTTCTGCTGAATCTAAGTCTATAAAGGTGACATAGAGCCTTTTGCCTTTAAACATCTTATTTTGACTCTAAATCAGCCTAAAAACGAATTATTTTCAATTAATCCCCACAAGCAAAGATTTATCAGGATGGAGAAGATAAAATGTCACATTAATGCTGACTAGTCAATAATTACATGAGGACATAGTGGACAATACAAAAACAGTGTATTGCCACGATATTATTCAAAATTTTTATTAATGTTTTGTTTTGGAGGTTTATGTTGGCAGACTTAATGTTGGAGAAATACAGAAAGTACACCTTGTTTCAGTTTTTTAGGTTTTAAATATCATCGAGTAATAAAATCATAGAACCTCAGATGAGCAATAAGCTATGACATATTACTCAGGGCCATTATTTATATAAGCCAAAATGCAGATGCAGCATGTGAAAAATGTGCTACACCCTTAATGTATCCATAGTTATTATTGTGAATGCCTCTACACAAACACAAGTTTTGGAGGTCTGTTAACACAATGGCAAAGGCATCCCAGCAAATTCAGCCCAGTGTCAGAGTAATGCTCAGAGAAACTCTAAAAAACCCAAGAGCTCCATCTAAGACAGTTAGCATGTTAAATTTCATGACAATAGAATCAGAAAACAATTGAAAAATAATGACTTGATGGATTTTTAGAGAAAGCTTCTTCTCCATAAAGAACACATCAGTACAGCTAAGGTTTAGAAACTTTAGTCTGATCAAATCAAAAGACTTCTGGATCAGTGTCCTTTTGAACAGATGAGATGGGTACTCTGGCTTCCTCCCACCATCCAAAGACATGCAGTTTGTAGGGAAATGCCCATAGGTGTGAATGTGAGCGTGAAGGGTTGTCTGCCTCTGTGTGTTGGCCCTGCGACAGACTGGTGACCCAGGGTGTGCCCCGCCTCTGGCCCTATGACAGCTGGGATAGGCTCCACCCAGGAGAATCCATAAAAGATCCATAAAATCAAAAATTCAACTGAAGACTGTACTTAACTTTTCCTCTCTTTGCTTTTCTCTCTGTGAAATCCTGAACTCAAAGGAATATCCTGCTGATCTCATGAAGAACTGCAACTCTATCTCTATCAGCAGACTGAAAGATTTGCTAAGAGACTCTCAGGCTTATAAATACTGACGTCTTTTCGTGTTTGGTGCTCATCGGTGCGTGGAAGTGTTGTGGGGAGTGGAGAGGCAAATTAGCTTTAAGGTAACTCTGGTACAACGTATCAAATGACAATATTTATGTTAATATTGCGCAGGGTCACTTTTCAAAAAATGTCAATAAAAAAATAAAAATGTATGGATCCCAGAAGTCCCTTCTGAAGCAAGTGACCTTTGACAGAGTCTCTGGTCAGTTATTTTAAAGCAGTATCAAAATGTGCATGTCTAACATGTGGCTACTAAATGGTGCACAGTAGCCTGGTAGAGGTTTAAAAAAGTCAAACATACACTACCAGTAAGAAGTTTGGACACACCCTCTCATTTAATGGTTTTCTTTCTTTTTCTTACTTTCTATATTGTAGATACTGAAAACATCAAATACATGGAATTATGTAGCAAAAAACAGAAAAATAATTCTAAATATGTTTTATATGTTAGATTCCTGGAAGTAGCCGCCCTTTCCTTTGTTGACAGCGCTGCAAACTCTTGGCCTTTTCTCAGTGAGCTTCATGATGTAGTCACCTTAAATGGTTTTCACTCACAGGTGTACGTTTGCCAGAGTTCAAACGTTACGTTGCAACTGGTTCACATGAGCACTGCCCCAAGACCAAGAGTCACCTCTGCCGCTAAGGATAAATTCATCTGAGTTACCTCAGAAATCACAAGTTAACAGCACCTCAGATTAGAGCCCAGATAAATGCCACACAGAGTTCCAGGAGCAGACACATCTCTACATCAACTGTTAAGAGGAGACTGTGTGAATCAGGCCTTTATGGTCAAATAGCTGCTAAGAAACTACTACTAAGGAAAAGCAACAAGTAGAAGAGATTTGTTTGGGCCAAGAAACACAAGGAATGGGCATCAGACCAGTGGAAACATGTGCCTTGGTCTGTTGACTCTAAATGTAAGATCTTTGGTTTCACTCGCCGTGTCTTTGTGTGACGCAGAAAAAGTGAATGGTCTCTACATGCATGGTTCCCACCGAGAAGCATGGAGGAGGAGGTGTGATGGTGTGGGGGTGCTTTGCTGGTGACACTGTTGGAGATTTATTCAAACACCTCCAGGCTGTGTAAGGGCTGTTTGACGAAGAAGGAGAGTGATGGAGTGCTGCACCAGACGGTCTGGCCTCCACAATCACCTGACCTGAACCCAGTGGAGATGGTTTGGGATGAGACTGACTGCAGAGTGAATGCAAAAGAACCAACGAGTGCTCCGCTTCTCTGGGAACTCCTTCAGGACTGTTGGAGAACCATTGCAGGTGAAATGGCATTCAGCTCAACGAGAAAATTCCAAGCTTGTGCAAAGCAGTAATGTGCTTTCATAGTTTTGATGCCTACAATTTAAATACTCATGAAAATAAAGAAAAAAACATTAAATGAGAAGGTGTTTTCACATTTTAGACTGGTAGGGTATGTTGGTATATGTTCCGCTGGCACAGAATATTTATGTTTTGTGCAGTGTATAAAAACAGTGGACGTCTTTTAATTATTTCCACACATTTATATCGTTTTTACTCAGTGTGCATTGTTGTGTTTCTTGAGGCTTTATTTTAACTCCAATTTAAAATGGAAGTTTGTGTCACGGTCTCTGTAAAATGAGCTTTTGTGCAAATTATGCAGGGTGAGAGTTTTAATGCAGACAGTTGATTCTGCTCATCTGAGCGCAGCATTTTCAGTGGGCTGGAGAAACCTGCAGACGGCCGACTTCTTCTGTCTGCGGGGACCGAAGAGGTCACCTGGACGAGCGAGAACACGTTTCTCCCACTGGAAACACTGAGCCCTGACAAACAGAGTATCTGCAGCACGCAAGGTGAGCATATCCATTCAGAAGACTTGCAATACATGCTTGTTTCTTGTTGCTCATACAGACAAGTGGCAAATTAAAGGAAAAGACCAGAACCACTGAACCCTACAGAGGGGGAACTCGCTGTAGGCCCCTGCAGTGGTGATCCACTTCAAATCAATACAAAGTTATGCAGAAACATCAGCTTAATGATTAAATACTTTTGTCCTGGTGGGAGTGGGCTCTTCCATGATGACATATCCCCAACCACTGAAAGGTCTTAAGAGGGTGAAAATGATGCAAACCACACGCTGTAGCCTTTGCCACAGTATGCGACTCAATCTGATCTCAATCTAATTGATCACTAATCCATGTGGGACTTTGCCCTCGACCATTATCATCAAAAAAACAGATAAGGGAAAATATTTTTTTACAGTAAATATGGTCTTGCCCAAATCAGAGATTTAGAGAGTCGCTGCCAAACAGCACTAATGGTGTTTGTGGAGGCCCAACGCTTCATTTCAAACACTTCATTCTGGTTCTTCCATTCATTTGCCACTGGTTAGTGTGCCATGAAAAACAGCTGGTTGGTTTCTATCAGCAGGTTGAAGTCCAGATGTGGTGTGTGTCCTGAAAAGTCAATAAATGATGTTGATCGCAATGCTTCTTTCTGGCGCTGAGGCCTTGGACTCAGTCAGGTCCTTCCTGTGTGATCTTTTGTGCTGAGCTGGAGTTGTTCTTGTAAGAGGTCTGTTTGTTTGCCTAAAAGACAAAGCGTGATGTATTTTCATACAGTAACATTTACATGAATTATCTATTCTCGGTTCAACAGGACTCTCACCTGGAGGCTCCGGCTGCCGGAGTTGTTCTCATCCCGCTGGCACAGCAGATGTGGTGCTTCATCGGGGCTGCTGCCTGAGCTACGCACATCTCCCAGATTCAAAAACAGAATTCTGGACACCAGACAAGTCACAGACAAGCACGTGCTCCTCAGTACAGACCAGCCGTTTAACATGAAGGACGGGATTTGTCCCACTAAACACGGAGGGGACGTCACGGACAGCTTCAGGACGCTCGCAGAGATTTCACTCGTGTCTTTAACCAAAGCGCTTTTGCGGATGTGTGCAGGATATTTAATCTGAATTATTTTAGAGCATTTATTATTTCCAGACAGTCTGCTCGCTAGTACGCGCACCAGCGCAGGCGCAGCTGAGTGCGCGTGCGCTGGAGATTGCGAAAGTTTTGGGTAACGTAATCCACTCACTTCCCTGGAAACTTTACCCCCCACTCTGTCCGACCTGTACGAAACAATCAGCCTTCTTCCCACCAGGACCACCACACACTCTCCGTGTGGAGAAGCCTCCGCCGCTGACGCCTGGTGTGAGCCGCTGCGCTCGCCCGGAGAGTCGCGCAGCGCCCCGCCGGCCAGTCCTAGGCCGTACGCCGAGCTGGCAGGCCGCTTGGCCGGCGGATTCCTCGTCCAGATATTCCCCCGGCACCGGAGAACAGCGGACAGGGCAGAGGCCGAGGGGGTGGAAGCCATGGTGATCGGTAGCGTCCACGTCTCTCCTCCTTGACGCCAGCCTCCGTCTAAACACTCACATAACCTTCAGAGGTTTATTTGCGTAAGGAGCGGGTCAGAGGAGGGTGGGGGGTTTCTTCTAGTCTGGTCCACGCGACTATATTTGCCTCGACTGTGACAGTGGGGGGTTCGTGTGGGTGTGTCTTTAGGCCAGAGCAGAACAAGCAGCTACTTTACACCCCGGAGTGGAAACACTGGATGAAAATGAGACAGATTTAGCAGGTACTCGGATGCAGAGGGACTGGGAGACAAATGCAGTTTAGGTTTTTGAAGTAAATCAAAAATGGGCAGTGTTGCCCCGAGTGATCGATTTATACGATCTATTTCTTCTCCTAAAAATAAAAAAGTAGTAGTGTGACACTCGAAGATCTGAGAACCGGTCACAGGGGGGCATCGCGGGTCACAAAATTCTACATGAATAAAAACTTCTGTTAATAAATAAAAAGTGACTCTGAAGAAACGCACAAAACAGCAATAAACAAGTTTCACCTACTGAATATTCTTTTTTCTCTTTTCGTTTATCATTTAATGTGGAAATAGTATAGTTTGCACTTCAATTTCATTTCAGTTAATTTATTTTATGTAACATGTTTAAATACTATTTTTTTAAACTAATGTAAAGTTTTTCCAGACTAACCTTTGGTCGTTACGTTCGTTATAGTGACCTTGGTCAGGACAATTACATAATAGTTGGAGCTGGACAATGAATACAAACAGAAACGCAAACATTTATTGAGAGCACTTCCTGAAGGGGGCGCTACAGGTTAAGCTAGAATGCCCTCAAAAAAGATTTTATAAAGATTTCTGTACTGTGTAAACTTTATTGTCCAACTTTTTAAAAAGCAATTCATACCGTTTCTGTAGTGCTGTTGTATAATGTTACAAAGCTTTGAGTAAGCTGAGCCCACACAGTCCTTGCTGTAAGCTTTTCAGGATTTAGGCTGGAGTGACATTTCTATTAGACTCAGCACATGTTGTTGTTTTTCCCTTTGTTTATCAGATTTAATACAGTTTATTTCTGATGAAGTGATGATTTTAAATATTTGTTAAATCCAGACAGTTTAAAGTGGTCTTTGCCATTGGAAATAGCTGGATACTGTTAAGACATGGTTTCCAGGAAAGACGGGGTACAGGTTTTTAAGTATTTCTCTTTTTCATGTGTCAGATGTTATGACCCAGAATGGACGCTATTACTATTTTAACTACACCCCTCTGGGACGTTGCCCAGTGTCCCCCAGGAGGAGCTCTGGGTGAGTGGACGCTCAGTGGGTTAAAGGTCAACACTGATACTCCGGGTCAGTTATGAGTCTCTCTTGAAACCCCTGACTAAGATGATACCTTACAGCTTATCGCTGGGGTGGTACCCTCTGAAGAGTGACTGTTTCTGGTTTGTACTTTACAGAAAGAAGTTTTGAACTTTTACTTTTAAAATCATTCGTTGCAAATATACATAAGAGTCACAGAATGAAACCTGTCACACTGACTCAAGAGAAATGTCTGTGGTTTTGTACAAAAGACTCACCTGCAATTCTTAACACCGGAATTTTTAATTCCCTGCTGCCCTGTACGAACATTTCCCATCTGACATCACTCACTTCTTTACTTCTTTCTGCTGAAGTTAAAAAGCCTGATCCTGAAACAGGCCATCAAATTAAAGTTTTCCATGTGCTGATTTTAAATGTTTTTTCACTCACTGCTTGTTGCACACATTCCTGATCCACCCAACATCAAAGTGATGGATGACATGCTGCAACTGATCCTCCCCAATCAGCCAGAAAAATGCCACAAAGGGCGTGACGCCCGTGTTTGTCAAACAGGCTTGTCATCCTAAAAATCCCGATATGCACAGCTGAGAGGAAGTTGCTCAATCCACCCTGTTAGCAGGTGTGTTTACACGGTTAAAGGGGATCAGGTGTCTAAATGAAGCATGAGGGCTTCTGAAAAGAAATAAGCAGCAGGTGTGTATCAGTAGAGGACAATCTCAAATATGCCTTTATTTGATGGATATGTTGAGAAATACTTGCAAATATATAAATCATCTGTGGCATCTGTATGTACAATGGGTTTGGACTATAAACAAAATTAGTTAAGAACTATAAACTCTGGTTTGCGAGATCAGCGTTCAATCCAGAGATCTTCCCAACCTTTCATCAGAGTGTAGTGCATTTCAACATTTACAGCTTACTTGATCTGTGCACAAGGTTCCTTTATTGTGTTCAGCCGCTCTCACGGTGAACACAAACACCTTCAGAAAAGAATAAAAACAGGAAACACATCAGTCCCTTTTCCTTCATGTGCACCTGCCAGTTCTTTTGTTTTTAAAAAAAATGTTGCTCTCCTGGTTTTCCTTCATTTCTCCACGTGACCCAAGCTTGAAGGAGCTCAGTTTGTACTTCACCATTATAAACACAAGGTGTGCAAAGTGGAACAAGGGTCACTGGAAGCTTTGTGTGATTCTCTCTCCTTGTCCACTTCATCACCCCACCCACACCCTCCACAGTCCTGTCCTTGACATGGACGCATCTCTAGTTCATGGATTTTGCTGTGAAGTGTTGTTTGATTGTGGACGTGGGGGGCGAACGTTGTTCAAGGACACAGTGGGTATGATCACAAAAGCCAGAATTCCCACCAGCATGAGCGCCACAGTGATGGTGATGATGGTCGCAACCACTGCGTAGTAGCACTGATCTGAACGGAACATCCTGCGCAGGCGACCTCTCATCCTGCTCGGAGGTCTGCCTACATCCACCACAGTGGTCGGGGTGATCCCCTGCTCCATTGCACTTAGCTGGAGGTTCCTGCTTGGTGCCACCTGAGTGTCTTGACTCTTGGTAGGCAGACTGACGACATTAGGCCTGCTCGGGCTGTTGGGAGGAGGGTTCTTCAGCATCAGCTTACCCTGGCTGCGCTTAAAGCGGATGGACAGCGCCCGCTGCATATCTGAAGGGAGTTTGCTGATGATGTCCCGATTGTTTCCCAGACGGGGCAGGTCCCGGCCGCGAGGGAGCTCAGTCACCTCTCGGCACACGGGGCAGGACAGGGTCTTGAGCTCAGGTGAGGTGACGTTGATGCGAGCCAGGCACTCCAGACAGAAGGTGTGCCCGCATGCCAGCAGCTTTGGGGTCTTGAAGACATTATCGTAAGTGCAGAAGCACACAGCGCACTCTGTGTCCTCCACGTCATTTTCAGGGGGTTTCATCCTTCTCCGATCGCTCTCTCCGTCTCTCTGGCGCCGCCCACGGCCCTCCTCGCTCCTTCCACGATGCCTCCTTTCTCCACGGTTCCTGTCTGACTCTCTTCTCCTCCCTCTTTCCGTCCTCTCAGAGTCAGAACTCCTCGATCTCCTCACTCTTGATGATTTCTCTTTTTTCCGGTGCTCCTCCTTGCTGTTCCTGTCATTCTGTCCGAGTTTGGGTTTGACGTTAGGGGCCTGGGGCTGCCTGGCTCCATGGCTCTCTTCGGCCCTGCTGTTTCCCTCCCCACCATCACTCATATTGGAGTGATGTCAGAGGTAAAGTGCCGTCTGGAATTCGACTCCTACCAGTTTCCCAACAGCTGCTGTGGAAAATTAAACCTCAGATGAGTTTATTGGCTCCCAAAAACAAGCAGAGCAGGAAGTAAGCCACAGGAATTTACCTGCAGTCACCACTGCTGTTTCACGGTGATGAAGCAAGAACGCCTAATCTCTGGCTGACATCTCGATTGTATTGAAATGCTGTTGTTATTCAACATGTATGTGCTGCTTTAGTCTTGACAATTGAGAAGTTGCTATATTTGTTTAGTAGGTTTTCCTGCACAGAAATTGTGAGGAAACATGAGCCGGGAGTGCGTCAAGTGGAGGCTGGACTTCTGAGAAGCAAAACTGGGATTTCTTTGTAACGCTGCAGCAAATTTTCATTGTACCCAGTGAATTTACTTTTTTAAAAAAAGTTTTAACACCAACAAGAGGCTCAGAATTCACATTGTTCACATTTGTTTAAAAAAAAGCAGCGCAGACATGTTGGCAAAGTTGCAAGAATTCCCACTTCAGACTTTTTATGATTTCATGACTTTTGAATGGAAGCTGGTAAGTAAAAAAGAATTTGTGCACACTGACCTGTGAGGTAGATGACTGCGGGATCAGTTCGTCAGAGTTGATCTGACATGTAATCCAGTCGTGTCAGTGCAGTCAACACTGCTCATGACTAAACGTCATAACTAAAAACAGTGATTGTTTTGAGCTCCCTGCTTCCCTCTTCTGTTCTTATCTTTGCTCTTATATCTACTTTTCTAATTGAGGACTCAGCATTGTCTCCTCCTCCTCTGAACCCTCCCCCCTTTGCCACACTTCCTCCCGCCCTCCTTTTTCTCGTCAGACCAGTTCAACCAGCTGCTATTGTTTTCATTCGTTTCTCTCTCTGTGGACTTTATAGATACTTTAGTTATTTACTTAAATGACCCCATGTGGCCACTCACACTGAAAGAAGATGCATGAAAATGACATTGCACCCCAGAGAATCAAACTAATGTCTCCCTCGTGTGCAGACTAACCCCGTGTCACATATCAGATCAGGTACCTGTAGCATCACATGATAGAAGCACGTCTTGTCTCGCTGTTTCTGATTCTTAGTGTGATACAAGTCATGACAGACAACAGTCACCGTCAGGAAAATTCCACTCTGGCTCCATAAAGAGGATGACAATGCATCTTTGTGAACATACAGCATATCAGCATGTCATATTTGTCATTCCTCTGCCACAGTCTTGTCACTTCATGGTTTTACAACTCAAACAAGATCAGCTACATAGCTTTTCCTCACTCCACAGGCCCGCAGGTACTCACTCTGGCCTGTGAGCCGCACAGCTCGAGACAATAACTACCAGATTCAAGTCTTTGACATTAAATGCTCAGGATTTTCTATGAGTCTGTTGTGGCCAGTGCAACCCTCTACGCCGTAGCATGCTGGGGGGAGTAGATTGAGGGTTGCTGATACTAACAGACTCAAACTGATCCGCAAGGCCAGCAATGTTGTAGGGATGGAGCTGGACTCTCTTAAGGTGGTCTCGGAGAGGCGAATGTTGTCCAAGATAAAGACAATGTTGGATAATTCCTCCCACCCACTCCATGACGTGCTGGCCAGTCACAGGAGCACGTTCAGTGAGAGACTGAGATGACCAAAAAGCACCACTGACCGACACAGGAACTCACTCCTGCCTGTGGCTCCCTGTACAACTTAACACACTGTTTACTGCAATAGCTGCACCCTTTTGCACATCATGCTCTTCTTTCTTATTCAGCTATTTATCAATAAGTGACTTATATGTATGTATATATTGTGCCATTTCTTACTTTGTGTATTGTCTGTCTTTGTTACTGTTTGTACTGGAGCACTGTAACCAAAATATTTTCCCTTATGGATCAATAAACTACTCTGAGTCTGAAGATTAACAGTGCAGCACAACTGCACATCGTAGAGTTGTGTTTGTCAAACAGCTCAACAATCTTCTGAAAATACGTCACGCTTTATATAATAAAAACATGAACGCACATAAAAGTCAGCATTCCTTTGCCAGGTAGCGTAATACGCCTTGTTTTGGCTTAAACAATCAAATAAAATACGCTCCTTACAAACCAGAGGCCTTTCTGACATTAAAACTTCTTCTTCCGATTGTGACTTTCCTGAAAATAAAACCAGACGAGCAAACAAGTTGAAAAGGCTGCAAATACTACTGCGATGAGTAATTATTAAGCTGAAAAACAAATCGATTGTAAAACTTTATTGCCATAGACAAATAGACCCAAAAAAAAAAAAAGAAAAGGAGCCTCACACGTGAGCGTGCTTTAATCGGGTGCCAGCTGTGACAGTTTGACACAGAGCGAATAAGCGAGCGGTCAAAGCACAACAGTCTCGTGCCGATTCACAAACCAGCTGGTGAGTCCGCACTGCTGCCATCAGAGCGGGAAACACAGATCCAAGCGTGTTCGTTTTTCCTTTTTGGAGACCCAGCCCTGCCGGCTGGTTGATGATTAAACCAGAGTCTGTGCGTGGCCCACTTCTCACTCGACCTTTCTCTCTTTCCGTTTTGAAAATAGAAACTTGTTTGAAAATACTGGTGTGATTTGAATAATGCGGGTCAAATTTCGATCGCTGTCAAAAAACAAGTTACAGCTTAGAAACATGGTACGTTTTCCATTTTCACTCAGACTCGTGCGCCTCGTCCTGTCACCCTGTCCTGAGTGAGAAGCACTTTTTTTTCATGGTATGTGCCGTGGACGGCCTTGACCTTCACTTCAGCCCAGCTCCTCTTTTGTTTTGCCCTGCTTACGGGGCATCTTCTTGCTGCTGCTGTCCTCCAGCTCTTTGCTCTTGTAGTAGTGAGGGGCCACTTCAAGCAGCCAGCCGCTCTCTATCTCGATCACCTGAGTGCAACAGAGGACAGAAGGCGAGTGGAGGTTAATCAGTGGACTGATACGCAGCCATGCCTGTAGTTAAATATTGTTCTGAAACACTGACACATCCTCATTAACCACTCGTACTAAACTCAAAGAAGGGTGCAGCTGGCTCCTTTAGATGTGAAACAAGAGAAAGGCTCATGCTGTGAAAAACAACAGAAAGCGCTGCAAACATTTGAGTTAGACGCCTGTTGGGAATAAAACAGCCACGGAAAAGACGACTACATGCTCGTTCTGAGATTTTGTGTATAGTCATCTGGCTCTTAGCAAGTTCTAAAATTATTTAAACACAGCCTGAAATGGACAACAGCATGGCACATTACACTGTGTTACTGTTCATTTTACAAAACTTAGCATTTAAAATGCATTAGCAGTGTGAAAACGTACAACCCTACTGCAGCCAGGTGCCACTAATCAAATACACTTGATTAACCGATCATTATTTACCAGCTGAGAGTCGCTGATATGTAAAAGCTTATAAGTGAAAAAGTAAAACTGTATGACATGGCGAGCAGGCCAACCTGTCTCATGAACTCCTTGGTGGTGAAGACCAGCTCATGGTAGATGAGCCAGCGGGGCTGCTCCTCAAACAGAGAGCTGTTGGGGTGCACGTAAACAGTCTGCTGGTGCTTCACAGTCTTGTAGCCTCCTTTGCTCAGTCTGGCCGTGTGATAGAAATATCCTGCAGTCACCGCCTGCAGACGGGGAGGATAAGAAGCAGTGGAGGGCAGATGGGTTAATAAAGCAGGGATTCCTGGCTCTGTAGGGACGAACAACAAGAAAAATACACAAGCGCTGGGCACAAAAAAGAACGGCGTTAGAATATAACGCAACGAACAAAGTGTGATTAGAATAAAACATTTACTCTTTATTAGAAGATTAATTGCTTATTAGAAGAACTCATGTCTGAAAGGAGATACTGGGGAGCTGCAGCCCAAAACAAACTTCCCATAACTGAGCTCAAGACTGTGACACAAACAGTAAATAACGTCTGTGGAGGGAAGAGAAGCGTCTTCACAAATTTCCATGTTTGCTACCTGCACATTAAGAAGTTACTAACCACACACAACAACCAACCATAAAGACAAGAACTTTGCTGGTTTGATTAACAATCTGAGGCTCTTGGTTAAAAAGCAGACATAGCAGACTCCTTAATCCTGCTATGTCTGCTTTTCCTGCTGTATCTTCCAATGACTGTGGAAAAAGTTCAAATTCAAGTGTGGATCCTTTGAACCTGCACAAGTGTCTCATCCAGTTATGTTATTTGGGTTTAATCCGATTTCCCCAACAGATCTCGTTGATATAGTTTGTCACATGTGCCCATCTTTCTGCAAACTCGATATTATCCTCAAGAGATTCTACCTGTCATCTTCCAATAGCTTCTCACGGTTATAAAACAATCACAGCCAACATCTTCCGTGTGTTTAAAAAACCTTCCTGAGTTGCCGGGTTTCAGATAACCACAGGTCCATTCACAGCTGCTCATCAGCTCCTTCAGCGCGTTGTTGAAAACAAATAATAAATTCCAAACCGATTACCAAAGAAACAGCATTACTGAAAATTACCAGTGACAACAGTGAATTTTAGTCCTACTAGACGCTAACCCCACCTTTGAGACCACTGATGATGCAGTGGCATTATCACTGGCACGGCTCTCGTAATGGTTTTCATACTTATTTGAATTCACATGAACGAACAACTGTATGTTCTCATTTACATCCCACGTATCTGGAGTCCCCACAGCTCAACCCTTGGACCAGTTCTGCTTTTTTAATACATGTCATCTACTTGTGAGCTTCAAAAGTATTTCTTACCTTTGCTGTGCTGATGACACTCAGACATATTTTCTGTATTTAACCTCCTCTCTTACCTCTGAGGAAAACCTGAGGATCTAATGTTCTTTACCAAGTCACTACATCAGCACGCTCACCGCCAATATCAAATCTTCTGCTAAGAGCTTGGTATTACTTTTGATCAGCATTCGAAACGCTGATTCCTCAGAGCTACTGAGACCTGTTCCACACACTTGGTTCAGCCCATCCGCCCGGCTGAATCTGTGCTTGGATCTCCTGATCCTTTCTCCCACTGTGTGTAGCCACAGTTCATAGCTCCACACTTCCATACAAGCGTTACACATGAAGTACTGTGTAACAGTGTTAAATAAGAGTATTAATGATAACAACAATGATAATAAAGACTTTAATAATAACACCAACAACAACAACGATAAAGCAGAAGACGTGAGAAATGGCAGCTGCCACAGCACTGTGGCTGACTCAGCACATTGATGAGTGGTTCCTCCAGTCTGTTGATCAGTACAGTACGAGTAATGCACTCCATTTACCTTTGGGCACAAGGCTGAAGAAGGTTAAACTAGGTTATTTTATGAGATACTCTTAAAAACAAGTTTTACAATCTTATAGTCTTTCAAACTTAAACACATTAAATGACTTTTTTTAAAATAATAAAGCAGTGTTTTATGATCTGAATATTCAGGGGTTAGCTGCCCCATTTAACCTGAACTTTAACTTTTCTTTTATGTCACTTTTTAATTTATTAAGATCTCTGTTGTGTAATTTATCGACCTTTATATGTCTATTCTGCTTATTCAAGCTCTTCTGCTATAGGCTGTGTTTAATGTTTTGACTGCTCTAGTGCAAGAATTTCCCTACTTTAAGGATAAACAAAGTACACCTTATCTCATCTCATATAGTTCAGCGTGACCAGAATTAGTCTAGTGCTGGTAGCACGGGGCACAGCAAATGAAATATAAAAAAAGAGCTCCAGGACTACGACATCAGCCATCCTGCCTGAAGGGAAGATTTTAGATGGGTTTAAATAAGAGTGAGGGGACTGTCTAAACCTTTTAACTTTCGCCGCTGTTATTTATAATACAATAGTGACCATGATTTAGAGCAGGGATGTCAAACAAAAGGCCTGGGGGCCTGACTCGGTCTGGTAAAGACTCCAGAAAAACATGAACTGTTTTGTTGTACAGCTTTTCCTACTGATAAAGACCTCCCCCATGGCCATTCACAATACACCAAAATAAGGAAGTGATGGATTTCTGTATTTTACACATTTACTTCTTACAATTGAAGCCCAAAGAGTTGTGCTGACTGATATCTTTATCATGTAAAACACACAAGACTGTTGAAATAGCACTTCTTTGTCTAGTATTAAGGTATCGTATTGATGATTGGAGTTTCACTGGCCCGATCCACATAACATCAAAGCGGGCTGCATGTGGCTCATGTAAATGTTTTTGACTTCCTTGATTTAGAGGTTCTAGCACCTAAACTGCCTCATGCCACTCAGGTCGGCTGACTCTGTTTGTTTGTTTGTTTCTGCTGAGCAGAGGTCAGGGCAGATACGTATTTCAGACCATGCTCTTATCATTGCTTGGATTGAAGTATAATGAGTGTGCTTGTATATGTGAATAGAAAGTTGCTATATGTAGTCTTATGTGGATTTTTTCTGTGATAAAAAACTTTTTTATGCAAGTTTATTGTTGTTATTATATTGTTATTGTACAATTACAACTTTGTAGACAGGTAGAGAAATCAGTTCTCGTTTAGCTGAGATGAAATCCTCTGATGTTACTGGATTGTGTGGAAAAACTCGACTGTTCTGCTTGAAACTAAAGGAAAAGAAGACAATCAGCACTGAGACTGAAACATCAGGGTCTGAGAAAGGATCCATGTGGGATTCACAAACAGAAACCATGGAGATCCTCTCCACAGTGAAACCTCCTTACAACACTCACACTTTCTGTAAAGTAGGCCGGGTGGTGTCAGGCGCCTTCATGGGCGTGCTGATAGTTGCTGACACATCAGACAGACAGCAGCTGTCACGTACAAGTCATGTAGCATGTAACCTAACTGTCTCTCACTTCAAAACGGAATAATCATCAGATGACTGACTCGGCTTTTTATGTGTTGTGTAGAGGAGCTGAGAAGTTGATGCTTCCTGGATTTAAACGTTGGACACACACAATCCTTCTTAAGAAGTGAGGTGAGACGCCTGGCCACGTGGTGTGCTGACAACAATCTCTCTCTGAATGTGGAGAAGACGAAGGAGATTGTTGTGGACTTCAGGAGAATGCACACCCAACATGCTCCTCTGACCATTGACGGAGCGTCTGTGGAGAGAGTGAGCAGCACCAAGTTCTTGGGTGTGCACATCACAGAGGATCTCTCCTGGACGTACAACACCACAGCACTGGCCAAGAAATCACAGCAGCGTCTCTTCTTTCTCCGCAAACTAAGAAGAGCAGGAGCACCAGCCCCCATCATGACACTTTCTACAGAGGCACCATCGAGAGCATCCTGTCGAGCTGCATCACTGTGTGGTTTGGAGCCTGCAATGCGTCCTGTCATAGAACCCTCCAACGCATAGTGAGAGCTGCAGAGAGGATCATTGGTGTCTCTCTCCCCTCCCTCCAGGACATTTACAGCACCCGTCTCACTAAAAAAGCCCTTTGCATAGCGGCTGATCCCACGCACCCAATGCAAAGCTTCTTCAAGCTGCTGCCGTCAGGGAGGAGACTGCGGAGTCTCCAGGCCAGGACCAGCAGACTGAAGGACAGCTTCATCCATCAGGCTGTCAGGAAGCTTAACTCCCTCCCGATTCTGCCCCCTCTCCCCTCTCTCCTCCATGGTCTGACTCTCTGTCTCTTGTCTCTGCTCTCTCTCTGTCCCTCACTCTCACTCCTCCCCCTAATCACCTCAAATTCACCACATACTACTCCAACACTCAACACACTACTCACTTCATCTCTCCTCAATACACTCACACATCAACCTGTCACACACTCACACACACACACACACTCACACACACACACACACACACAACACACACACACACAAACGTCACACACACAACACAACACAAGACACACACACACACACACACTACACACACACACACACACACAAACACTCACCTGCACCAGTTACCAGTCACTTTGTGGAGCATTGGACTGCCATTACCTCATAAGACTTTGTTGTTACACTATCTCTTACCGTACATTACTAAATCTCCATTTGCACTATTTGCCTATTTGCACTACTCTGCCTGGTTTACACCCAATGTCATTTACCCATTATATTGTATATTGTATAGCTTTCTTGTTATATGTAAAATTGTATTGTATTTATTTAAATTTTTACTTTTTAATTATTTTACCTGCATTTTTTAATCACTCTTATATTTAAATGTTCATTTGCTATTTTATCTAGGGATTGAGAGTAACGTAGTTTCTATTCTCTGTATGTCCTGTACATGTGGCAGAATTGACAATAAAGTTGACTTTGACTTACGCCAATTATCATTTAATATCATTAAGTAAGTTGTGCGTCGTCTTTTTTTCTATAAGCTGTAGGATGTTTGACTTGAGTGAAGGCAGCGTGCAAAGGGAAGAGGTGTGACTCAGCTAAGAAAATAAACGCCCTCTCCTTATCGCGAATACTTCAGGTGTTCACCGCACACACAGGTACAGGTATGTGAAGGAAACTCACACAGCTTCTGCCTGCTGATGATTTACAGGCTTCCTCCGACAGATCCTTGTACTCTTTTAGTTACAGAACCAGAATCGAGATTTCTTTAAAGCTTGTTATGTTGTTAATGTCTTGTCCTTGAGCAATATAGGAGCTGCTCTGAGCTGTACTGGAGCGTGAACGTGAAGCAAGTA